GTCTTTCAAACACCCTTTCCAGTGCTGAACCAGTGTTTAGGGTAGGTTGAAGGCAGTTCCAGTCATCATTTAGAACAGACAAAACTTATGCATGTTTGAGACACTATCCTTGCCAAGGATTAACTTGTTTAGGATTTTCTGATAGATCTTGGCTTTTTCATCAAACTTGTTGTAAGCTATAGGTTCTACTTCACTTTCCTTGTGAATAGTCTTGGTGACATTGGTCAGACCACCAGCATCAGACATCCACTCCTTGTAGTAGATGTTGTCGGCCTTCTCACACCCAATGGCTTGTGCGATGGTGGTAGGAGAGATTATGACAGTTACACCAAGCACCTTTGCCCCGAAATATCTTTAAGAAACCTTCAATGAGTCGTAGAACATCTTCACCAAGCCAGGGTATACAACCTCCTTGATGTTGAAATACCCAAGGATTTTGCTATCAGCCAAATCCTTGTTGATGGGTATTCCCCATTCCTACATCTAGCTGATGTTAAAGTGATGCTCCAAGTATATCACTGGCTTCACCTCCTTGGAGAAGGTATGAGCGCAGTCAATGGCTTCGCGCATATTAGCGGGGATTATCACGTTTTGAGTGTTCACAGTTGCGGCGTCTCCAGCTTGTGTGACCATTGTAGTAGAAGAAGAGATTCTGAGAGATTTAGGGTTTGTGCGTTCAGAGAGAAAGCTTTGAGAGTTTGAGATTTGAGAGTATGAAGCGTGTAGAATAAGATAACGAGTGCGAGGGAAGATATAGGTTTTTTTGAAAAAGAAAAATACTTCTATTTTTTTTATTAATTAAAATTTGTCTAACGTGGCACCCTTTTGCCTTCCTCGTACAGAGTGACGTGCAGCTTGCATTAAATTTGGGGTAAGGATCTATCCTTTCAAAAACAAAACCCCAAATGATGGTTTTTTCATTTATTAATTTAATCGTTTTAATCTTTAAATGCGGAGAATGTTTGTCTTCGACTACATAGCATTTAATGATGAAGGTCATTTAATACAAAGGTGCTAGACTAAATTTTTAGACGCATGAGCTGAATATTCAGACGCAAGAGAGGTTTCCTAGATGCTTCATCAGACAAAGATTCTCAGACGTAGTAATTTCTTACTGCACTTTGAGGGATATCTAGACGTAGTGGTTTACTGCGTTTGTGTTCCTAGTGTGTTTCAGATTGAACTGGACGGTGAATATATATGAATATCCTAGTGTATCTGATGTGATCTACTTCTATAACATATAAAACATGCTTTAATGAAGTAGATGATTTGATACTTGTTTTACCTGTACCAGTTATTCATCCTTCTTGCTTTTTGACTTCCCATTTGTCCTTCGTTCTTTTATGGATCATATCCTACCCCTACAATGTTAATTTCTCAACCCAAGGGGTCAAGCTCTGATACCAATTGAAGTTAGCGGAAATACACATAGAAGGGGGCTGAATATGTGTGTGTGTGTGGACAAATGCATTTTAAGATCGTTTTCACAAGAGACTCATTTTTTGTCTAGTAAAATATTATTTTCAATGCTTAGCAGTAACTGTGCAAGATTGGTTCAAAAGATTTTTTGCGTCTGAAGATTTATCGTCTCCACACAAGAAATGTTTCTTAAATGAAAACCTATTTCTTAAGAGAAAAACTGTTTCTTCATATAATAATTTAAACAGGTGTGTTTTTCGTCTAAGGGTAGTTTCATTGAAGAATAAATAATGGACGAGGTTTTCAATATGATTTAGCAAGTAGGTAAAATTGCGTTTGAATTGTAAATAAATAGTGCAAGTATTTTTATACTGGTTCGCTCAGACTAAGCTACGTCTAGTCTCCTTCAAATGAAAGGTTCCACTAGATGTTCAATGAAGTACAAGTATTATTTGATTAGCCTCTTCAGGCTCGCAGTGAGTATTATAGACCACCCAGGTCACGACCACTCCTGGTCGGCCAACTTCACTCATTGGTCTTAGTATTCTTTAATCAGCCTCATTAGGCTAGCAGTGACTATTATAGACCACCCAGGTCACAACCACTCTTAGTCCTATGTATTCTCAACCACTCCTAGTTCATCAACTTCACTCGTTGACGCTAGTATTCTTTATTCAGCCATTTCTGGCTCTTAGTGAGTATTATCGACCAACTCCTGGCCCGCTAACTTCACCATTAGCGCTAGTATTCTTTGTCCCGCCACTTCTAGCTCTCAGTGAGTATTATCGACCAACTCCTGGCCCACTAATTTCACCATTAGCACTAGTATTCTTTGTTCAGCCACTTCTGGCTCGCAACGAGTATTCTTTGACAAGCCTCTCAAGGCTTTTACAAGTATTATTTCCCTAGCCTCTTCAGGCTTTACAAATGATAGATATATGGTTTGGTTTGAGTGTTTGCTTTACTCTCACAGAGAGGATACAAATGTTTGTACATTCACTAAGGTATGCAACCTTAGTTTTACATAAATTGAGTATGTGGTTTACTCTCATAGAGAGGATACAAAGATTTCTTCACTCACTAAGGTTCATGTTTCTAAATTACACTTAGAACTCCTTAGTCTACAGAGATGAATACACTATGGTAGATTTGATGATATACGTTCTGTCTTTAGTTTCATTGATTCATGGGCTTGATATCACTCTTTTCTTATCTCTGCAAAAGCCCCCTTTCAAGGTTTGAAGTAATGATATATATAAGGTCTTATAGAATTTTCCCGTTGCAAGTGTCCGTTGAAGTAGATGTAGTCGTTTATGACTAATTTGATCTCTCATTTAATGCTTAAGATCTTGCATTAAATGTTGTTTCCTGTTTGTAGACATTGCGTGAAGTCTTCTATGTTTGTTAGCTGCTGTGTCTGACTTTAGCTAAGACCTAGGAACCTTTTTGTCCTTTTCCGGTCATGGTAGCTTCAGAGCGTTCTCCTTTTCTGAAAAAGTAATGCACTTTTTCTAACACATGCATGCTTTTACTTTTGTGTCCATTTCTTCTTCTTCTTCTTCTTTTCCTTTACACATGCTATCATGTTGAGAGCATTTATATGATCGTAGACGATGCCTTAGTTTGTCCCTTGAGACTTGATTCTTCATAGGCTTGCGTGGTAGTCTTCGTCTGCGTCTGTTATTCCATTTGCATTTCATGTCTTTATCTTTGTCTGAGCATTAGTCAATAATGTATTGACTTTTTATGGTCTGGTCATCTTTGAAGACAGACTTTGTTTCTATCTGGAATACTTTTCAGTCTGTGTTGTCCTTTGTCTGATACGTAGTTGACTTTTTTTTATCTTTGACCAATGCTTCGTTTGATTCCTTATGTTGTGCTCTAGGTTGTCCTTGACACACCTTCGTCTGATATTAGACTCATAGTCATCTGGCACACATCTCATGTTCTTTCTATCATTCAACTTTGTTTACTTCTTTGTGTGATCCTTACGCTGAGACTTGCCTTGACTCATCTTCTTCTGTTTGATCATTTAGCTTCACCTGCTATCCTTCATTAGTTTGGACTTCATTCGGTGCATAACCCACTTTTGTCTTGTTCTAGATTTAGCCTTGTTTTGGCCTTTCGTTTGATACTTCGGGGTTTCGACTTGTAGTAAGCCTCATCTAGTATTTGTTGAATACTCTTCTGGCTTTTGATCATACCTAGTCTTGTTGCTTGACCATCCTTCATCTGATGTCTTTGTTTAGTTCGTCCAGGTTTCGTAGATCTTGTATTTAATGCATTTAATCTTGCATTAAATGTTTGCTTGTCGAATCTGTGTTATGTGAAGTCTTTTGTACCGTTTGTTTACTTCTATGTGTGACTTCAATCATAACCTAGGTATTTCTTATCTCTCATCGTTAGTGTAGTTTCAAAGGTGTTGTCTTTTTCTAAAAAGTAGGTGTACTTGTTCTGACACGCGCAACTTTGACTTGTGAATTCGCTGTTCAATTTTTCTTCTTTCTTTTCATATGTTTGATGACTCCATGTGCTCTTCTTATAAATGTAGACGATACATGATATTCTTCATTGTGAATAGTGGACTTTAGACGCGTTTCAATATACTTCGTCTACGTCTATAAATTTGAGCCTCAGTCTAAGAGATAGACTTTGACTTTTCCTTTCATCTGGTTTGACTTTTCCTTTTGTCTGGTTTGACTTTTCCTTTCGTCTGGTTAGCTATGCAGATGGAAGACTTTTAATTTCGTCTAGGATGCTTCGTCTTAGATTACCCATCGTCTGTGGTCTTGTATCATTTGAGGCTTCATTATTTTCCTTCTTGTGCTGGGCTTGGCTTCGTTTGATCTCTCCATCTGATGCCTTGTAGTTTTTACCCATTGTCTTAGTTCTGGTGTGGGAAGTCGCACATGCTTCGTTCTGGATTTTGCCTGTACTTATGTTTTTCTTAAACACTAACATACTTGTTAGAAATAACAACATGTATTATATTTGTCTCATTCAAAACCTTGCTGGGAATTGCTTCATCTGACTCAACATAAGTAGGTGTGTATATTAGCATGCTTATTCATTTTAGAATCTATCAAAATGAACATATCGACTTATTCGCATTCGGGCATACAGAGCACATTAGAGTCTCAAATGTCTATTAGAGCATATGTTATCTATCATGTATATCAAGGCCTATGATGTCACTACAAGAAAAACACAAATTTTCGACGGACATAATCCATCTATAAAAAGGAATATCCGTCAGAAATAGAGAATTTTTTATGGATGCAAATCCGTCGGGAAAAGGGGCATCAGAAAAAAAATCCATCGGAAACAATTTAATCTGTTGGAGATTTATGACGGATATATCTGTCGATAATTATCCATTGAAAATTATTTGAAAATCTTTATGTGATTTCGACGGATTTATCTATCGAAAAATTTCTATTTAATTTTAACAAATTTATTAATGTAATACCTCTTATATTTGGCCTCTCGAGGGTTTCATTTCATGACACTTCACTTTTTAGCACGCTTTGTCCTTACTTGCACAAGTTCTGGGAAACCTCCTAGAAGGTCACCCATCCCGATATTACTCCAAGTCAAGCACGCTTAGTTGTAGAGTTCTGATGAAATAAGCAATCGAAAAGTAAATGCATGTTGTTAGCATAGGTAGTACAAATTAATTCATTTAAGTCATCCTCAACTATACAATTTCATACTTGTACTATCTCTAGATCTCTCTCATTTCGATGTATCTGGACTGTTATAAAAATATAATAATATTTGGTGATTCAATTGAGTATTATATTAATTTATAAATATTATTGTCATATTATATAGTAAGAACTGATGATCTAGATGAGGATTCATGGTGAATTGCTTGAGGAGTATATGAACCACTATTTTGTGTGGATTTTGTGTATGTGTTGTGGAATTGAGTTATGGAATGTGAATGTGAATGTGAATGTGATTGTGGTTCCTCATATTTATGACCAGGGGTGACACGACCTTGGGTAAGTGATGCTATAGGGATGGCTTGACCTTGACATAGTGTGGGATGTGTGAGGCAATTAATACGTATTACTTATGTCAAGGGTGGCACAACCTTGGGCAAGATATTCTACAGGGGTGGCGTGACCTTGGTATAACATGTCAGGGGTGGCACGATCTTGGGCAAGAGATGCTACAGGGGTGGCGTGACTTTGGCACAGTGTTATGTCAGGGGTGGCACGACCTTGGGCTACTACAGGGGTGGCGTGACCTTGGCATAGTGTTAATTGCAAGATTTGTGAAGGATTGGTGTGATTGTGAAATTGTGATGTGAAGTTGATGCACGAGTGATAGAATTAGGACATATAGAGATGGTTGTAAATATTTCACTAAGTCATGAGATAGTGTTGTGTTTTCCTTGTGTACTTTACATATAGATGTTTTCTTTTCTCACCGTACAATTTATGGATGCTTTAGGCGAGAAAGATCCGGCTATGAGTGACATCTAGAATGCCAACAATTGAATTGTGGGTGTGCTTTGATATTGTGACATCCCTATAGCTATATGAAAAGAGATGCAGAGAATTCAAGGTTCCCCAATAATTTTTAATCTTGATAATAATTATTGAGAATAAAAATTTACCTTGCGAATCAAATAGAGGAAATCCCTCACTGATAGTTCCCCCCTCTGAGATCCAATATCTTGGGCTTTATGTACCTTTGCAGAGAAAATTAGCATGAGGACAACAAAGCTTACTAACTACTCAAACTGAGCTGAAGAACTAAAAAGTTAGGAGTCTTACCAATTCTGTGACATATTCCACAACAATGTCCTCCATAAGTGCCACACTTTCAGGAAGTGGCTAATTACAGTGGCAAACAAGAATAAAAGTTCAAGTTAACAGACATTGCTCTTTAAAATTTACATGAAAAGATGTATAGAATGATAACACTTGAAACTTACATTAGGGTCATCTCCAAAGCCATACATCATGTGCTGCACTATAGCACCCAAAGGAGACTGATAAGAAAGTAAGGTTAAATGTAGAAAATTAGGAAGAAAAAAGCTTACATTCTTTTTGGAAAACTCCTCTTTTGCGCTTGGATGAAGTTTCTGATGGTTGCGAGGAAGCTGCCCTCGGTTTTGATGATGTTCCAGTTCTAGTGGAGGAATTGCTCATTGCAATTACCCAATGCTTGCATAGTGAGGGTTCTGCTCTACACAAAATGAAAAGAATTAGAGAACCACAACATATAAAAAGTCTCAAATAATTCCCAATCCAAGGAACCATACCACATTTCTACAGGTTTAAGTAGAAATTTGGGGAAATAGTTGGGGTATTAGGCTTAGCTTTCTTAGCCTCTACAGTTTGTTGGTCACTATCCCTACTCTTAACTTTATAACCAGTAGCACTAATTCTTCGATTAAAAGAATGATTACTAGTTGGAGTAGCCTCTGTGTTAGTACTATTAGGTAGAGTTTCCATTGTATTTAACTCATCTTCCATATTGAAATTTTCATTGAGATTCATGACTATAATATAAAACTCAGCAAGATTCGCTCATACATCCAGATATTAACAGATTCACATTCACTCATATCCAAGTTTTCATGAAGATACATGACTGCAACATAAAAATTTAACAAGATTCAAGCATACATACAAGAACATAACAAGCAGCAACTAATATCTACAAGAATCTCCTTGATGAAGAGTAAGGTCTTCAAAATATGAACTCTGGGTTAATGTCTTGCTGATCAGAGGACTAAAACACGAATTGTTCCTGCTAGTTGCACATCCCACATACAAACACAAACACACACAAACACGCAAATAACGCACAGACAAACAAACAAACACATGCATGCACAAAAACACACACAAAGAGATGCACAAACACAGACATAGACACACAAAAACTCACAGAAAAGTTGAAAAACTTTTTCTTATTTTTCACCCATAGAAATGGAACATCCTTCTTCACTAACTCATTGAGTGGTGAAGTAAGTGTGGAGAAGTTATGACCAAACCTCCTATAAAAGCTTGTTAAACCATGAAAACTCCTAATATCTCCCACACTTTTAGAGGTAGGTCATTCTTGGATGGCCTTTATCTTTTCGGGATCCACATGAACCCCATTGACTCCTATAACAAAACCTAAGAAAATTACACTATTTACATAAAAAGTACATTTTTCTATGTTTCCAAAAAGTTTACTGTTTCTAAGACTAAAAAAGACTTGCCCTATGTTATCACTTAGGCTCCTACTATATATTAAGATATCGTCGAAATAAACAATTACAAACCTACCTATATACTCCCTAAGAACATGATTCATGAGACGCATAAAAATATTAGGAGCATTAGTAAGCTCAAAAGACATAATTAACCACTCATATAATCCAAATTTGGTCTTGAAAGCGATTTTTCATTCATCTCCTTCTTTAATCTTTATTTGATGATAACCACTTTTAAGATCAACTTTAGAAAATATGGTAACACCATGCAACTCATCAAGCATGGCATCTAATCTAGGAATAGGATGGCTATACTCAATAGTAATGTTGTTGATGGCCCTACAATCACAACACATTCGTTATTTCCCATCCTTTTAAGCTCCAACAATGCCAGAATAGCACAAAGGTTAAGACTCTTTTGAATCCAACCCTTATCTAATAACTCTTGAACTTGAGACACTATTTCTTTAGTCTCTTGCAGAATTGTCCTATAAGCAACCCTATTGGGTAGGCTAGCTCCAAGAATAAGATCCATTTGATGCTTTATTCCCCTAAGAGGTGACAATCCCTTTGGACCTTCTTGTGGGAATATATCATCAAACCTTTTCAAAATTTCTTTAACCTCACTAGGTAGAGTTTCACCTTCAAGAGTTGTGGCAATGCATACAAGCATACTCTTACAAAGAAGAAGGAAAGGAGGTTGTTCAACAAGGAAAGTTCTATGAATTTCTTGTTTGTTGGCTAAAATACTTTCCTTATGAATAACCTCTAAGGTGGAAGTAGTGCCCGCAACTCTTCCCATCCCCTTAGTACTACTCTTAGAAGATTTCTTTACTTTTCTCTTTTTATCTTCTTATTTTTTTTTCTTCATTTGAACTTGATCCTTTACCACTTGTTTTGGTGATAAAGGAGTAAGTACAAACTTCCTTTCCTTATGCTTGAAGGTAATCTCATTAGTAAGGCCATTATGTATAGATTTCTTATCAAATTGTCAAGGCCTTTCTAACAAGATATGACAAGCATCCATAGACACTACATCACATAAAAATTCATTTTCATAGTTTCCTATGGAAAACATGACCTTTACTTTTTGGTCAACCACTATTTCCCCATCATCTTTAAGTCATTGAAGTTGATAAGTTTTTGGATGAGAAATAGTGAGAAGAATAAGCTTGTCAACCAACCTATTACTAAAACAATTGCAACAAGATTCATTATCAACAATGAGAGAACAAACTTTATTTGAAATGTTACATATAGTATAAAAAATATTCTCTCTTTGAAATATAGGATCTTCCTTAGGTTGGCTCCCAAGTAACCTTTGAACCATTAAAAGTTCTCCATCATAAGGATTAGTTATTTCCACATCACTTTCTCTTCTTCACTTTTACTTGAAGATGAAGAAGAAGAAGACTCATATTCACTTACTACGTCATTATCACTCATTATCATGGTTTTCCTTGTGGGGCACTGAGAAGAAATGTGGTCTCCCCCTAGACATTTGAAACATTTGATTTCAATAGTCCTAGAGCTAGTATGTGAAGTGACCTTTCATTTTTCTCTTTCTTTTCCTTTTTCAACTTCTTTTTACTTTTCCTTTGTCATTTCACCCTTGGGATGGTTCTTGTAAGAACTTCCCTGCCTCTTGAAATCCTTCTTGTTATGAATTGGAGTGGAAACTTTTAGACTTTCTCAAAATTTGTTGCTCTACCATAATACAAAGTTGTACTAAGTCATTCAAGTTCCTATAAGGTAGAAGTTCTACTTTATCTTTTATCTCATGATTGATCCCACTAAGGAATCTTGCTATGGTGAGAGAAAATGAACGCACAAACATATACTCATATGTAGACACACAAACACACGCAAACACACTTAAAGACACAAAAAGACACCTAGACACACACACTTAGAAAGAGAAACACAAGCAATGACACACAAAGATAAACACACACAAATATAGATACACATAAATAGACACACTAAGGCACACATACGTACAGACACACATAGTCAAAGAAACACACGCAAACATACACATAGACACACATAAATACACGCACATAGGCACACACTAACAGACACACAAACACTCATAAACACATAGAGTCATAGATACATAAACACACACTGACAAACACACATATGCACACATACACACAAAGACATCCAAACACCTAAATGCAAAAAGAGATACTTACAGACACAAACACACACAAGCACAAACACATACACAAAGACACCCTATGTGTTTGTTTGTCTGTTGTTTGTGTGTTGCTTTACATTTGTGTTTGTTTCTGTGTATGTGTGTCTGTATCTTTGTTTATGTTTGTGTGTCTGTGTGTATGTTTGTATGTATGTGTTTGTGTGTGTGTGTTTGTTTGTTTGTGTGCCTCAATGTGTGTGTGTCTCTATGCTTGTGTGCGTGTCTATGTGTCTTTGTGTGTGTGTGTGGTTGTCTCTATGTGTGTGTCTTTGTGTCTATGTATGTTTATAAGTGGATATTCCTCATTTATGAGTACTCTCGCCTCACAATCAAGGTAGTCAAAATCGAGATCTTACTCAAGATCGAAAAGGGAAATATGAATCGTAAAATGGAAGATCGTAACATGGATCGTAAGATCCTACAAAACTTATGAAACTCATATATACGAACACATAAATTTTGTAGTAAAAAAAACAGCTTCATCCTAGTAAAAAACAATAAAAATTCAACTAGATAAGATGCACAAAAACACACACAAAGAGATGCACAAACACAGACATAGACACACAAAAACTCATAAATAAACATACATAGACACAAAGACACACACATAGAGACAACCACACACACACACAAAGACACATAGACACGCACACAAGCATATGAAATGTTACATATAGTATAAAAAATATTCTCTCTTTGAGATATAGGATCTTCCTTAGGTTGGCTCCCAAGTAACCTTTGAACCATTAAAAGTTCTCCATCATAAGGATTAGTTATTTCCACATCACTTTCTCTTCTTCACTTTTACTTGAAGATGAAGAAGAAGAAGACTCATATTCACTTACTACGTCATTATCACTCATTATCATGGTTTTCCTTGTGGGGCACTGAGAAGAAATGTGGTCTCCCCCTAGACATTTGAAACATTTGATTTCAATAGTCCTAGAGCTAGTATGTGAAGTGACCTTTCATTTTTCTCTTTCTTTTCCTTTTTCAACTTCTTTTTACTTTTCCTTTGTCATTTCACCCTTGGGATGGTTCTTGTAAGAACTTCCCTGCCTCTTGAAATCCTTCTTGTTATGAATTGGAGTGGAAACTTTTAGACTTTCTCAAAATTTGTTGCTCTACCATAATACAAAGTTGTACTAAGTCATTCAAGTTCCTATAAGGTAGAAGTTCTACTTTATCTTTTATCTCATGATTGATCCCACTAAGGAATCTTGCTATGGTGAGAGAAAATGAACGCACAAACATATACTCATATGTAGACACACAAACACACGCAAACACACTTAAAGACACAAAAAGACACCTAGACACACACACTTAGAAAGAGAAACACAAGCAATGACACACAAAGATAAACACACACAAATATAGATACACATAAATAGACACACTAAGGCACACATACGTACAGACACACATAGTCAAAGAAACACACGCAAACATACACATAGACACACATAAATACACGCACATAGGCACACACTAACAGACACACAAACACTCATAAACACATAGAGTCATAGATACATAAACACACACTGACAAACACACATATGCACACATACACACAAAGACATCCAAACACCTAAATGCAAAAAGAGATACTTACAGACACAAACACACACAAGCACAAACACATACACAAAGACACCCAAACCCAACCACATACAAAAACACAAACATAAACACAGACATAAACATACTCACATAGACACAAACTCAAACACAACAACACACACATAAACACAAAAAGCCAAACACACATGCATAGAA